TTATTTAAGCTGATGTATTCATACCACAATTAAAAATCATGTGTCAACAAAATATTCAACTCTTGTAGTAATAAAAATAGGTGAACCTTGTTATTTTTCATATTTAATTCCCGTACGGTGGATGAGAATTTCTATATGGATCTTAAAAGACGTAAAAGATATGGCAAATAAAATGACTGTCCACTGCTTCGGCATCAAATTCACAACAGTAAGCCTAATATTCCTGTAAAATTACGTGTCTTCGTTTATACGGCAGCAAATGAATGTAGAACTTTCGGAATAAGCATCTTTTTCTTCTTAATAAAATGTCACAAAAATATTCAAATCTGTGCGTAATAAAAATGGGAACACCTCGCTATTTTTCATATTTAATTGTGGTATTCAAATTTATGTCAGTGATATTTCTATAAAATTACATGTTTTCATAATATGATAGAATGAAAGCTTGCCGATCCGTACCTACTTGTAAAAAGACGTAACTTCCTGCAGCGTTTGGCGTACGTGACTCACGGCACATAGCTTCATCGTAAGCGATTTTCGTGCGGCGCTCGAGATCACGGGAAAGTGCCACTGTGGATGAGAATTTCTATATTGAGTCTTAAAAGACGTAAAAGATATCGTAGACAAAATGACTGTCCATTGATTTAGTGTGTTATATACTCTTAGGATATGTGACATCTATGATTAGTTTATACATGCTGTCGGCTCACATCGATGCGATTAAAATGCTCGACAATTGAGAAACCACGAGGTAAACAGGTGGATTAAAATTATAATCACTCTTCTTGGATTGATGAAAAGTCTGACAAAGGGAAAGCAATGACTTCTGTTTAAGATTAGATTGACGAATTGTCCGACAAAGGATTAAGTCAGTCAATCAAGGCAGATTAAGTAGTTAATCAAGGTAGGTTTATTATTAGACGGTACAACACGATAAATAAGTTGATCACTTAATTACCTAATAAATGCAGCGTATTATCGACGATAATGGGGTTGAGGGGTAGTTATACACTCAGTAATTTGGGAATTTTGAATATTATTCACCATGTCTTAATTTCTGATTGGGCATATTCCCGGTCGGACAATTTTGGGCGTTTGGAAACAAGATTCGGACAAGTCCGGAATATACGGACAAAATCCCATCACTGGTACACACTCTTAAATTTTTGGGGTCCTTATTTTCATCCAATATTATGATACAAAACAGTTTTATTTCTTCGACATCCGCAGGACTAAAAATATCAATTTATCATTTATCCCGTTTTCATCATAAATATATACCGGGTTATGAATCGTAGCACATGAATCGCAATACCTATTGTATCCTACTACAGTGGCAATACAGAGAGAGAGAGAGAGAGAGAGAGAGATGGGATTTAACAACCACTTGACACCAAGGTCATTTCGGGACTAACATATGGTTCAATTTTATTTTAATAATTCGCTTTAGCAGTGGGAGGAAACCGGAGGACTTGGAGAAAACCCTATTCCTTGTCATGTACAACCAGGAATCGAAACCACGACAGTTGACTCAATGACAGACTTTATGATACAATGCACATGTGCTAACCATTCGTCCATCCGACCCAGAGCAGGGCTTGCCACGAGACGCGAGTAATTACTCGCGCGCACGCTACGCTCGCGTAAAACCAAATTTACGTGAGTGATTAAGTACTCGCGCAAATATAAAAAATAATTTAATCAGAAATAATTGAATATCGTAATATAAAAAGCCGTAAACAATTTGTATGCCTTCATATCGATGCACTATTGCGCACGCGGCGTGTCTTTCCAGTGCGAATTGTTGTTACTAAAAATACTTTGAGACGCGTACTGCCAGACGGTTTTTAAGCGGATGTCCTTTGCCGTGTCTGGATAATCAAACATTGAGCGGATGTTGTCGTTTCTATTAATAGCAATTCTTTCGATCCCGCATCTTTTCTGCAAACTGATGGGATTGAAATTGTTTTGCCTGTTCTTTTACCTTTCTAAGCTTTACCCGAATCCCCTCAGCACGCCAACGATGGCAAAGGGAAGCCCAGTTTCTCTTGCAACGTTCTTGTCATGGGAAGACGATTTACAGATATTTTTTTTTGCCAAGGAAATAAAAGAGTATGCATTGTCATTGTGTGTGAAATTGCTTTATTCCACCGAAGTGACAAGAGCATTGCCATTAGGCACATGAAATTTAAATGGCTACTCACGCACATCATTCTGCGTGAGTAAATACATGTACTCGCCTCACTCGCGCAAGTCTATATTTGCGTGAGTAGTCATCTACTCGCCTCCAATTTGCTCGTGGCAAGCCCTGCAGAGTGGTAATACCCAGCAATAGGTTTAACGTCCCTTTATGACAAAGTAGGTCATCTGGAAGCTCATGTACGATACATTGTATGGGGTATTTATTTGAATGTGATGAAACCGAGGCAACCTAGAGAAGAAAACACTACTACTTATCACGTAGAAGTCGGAGATCGAAATACTCGAGATGGACTCGATAATGGTCAAATAAAAATTATATGTGGTTTAAGTTTTCTGCTGCAACCTGACTATGACAGACATTTTGCCTATAGAGTGGCACTACAGTCCACTCCGATTTCAAATGTTCTTTTTCGTACATGTACATACCAATATGTACACTCCGTCCTGTACCACTGACAAGCGAAAAACGCCAGAATAATCCCGAGGATCGAATCTGAACACCTCCCTAGATATAGTTCCTTTTAGTTTCTTAGGGAACTGTCTAATCGGGTATGTCCACTGACAGTTCCTATCACTTCCTATATAGCTGCAATATGAAAATACGGTAAAATACCGCTCTTCTCCACCTCTGGTCTAAGGCTATTTTTGAATCCTTATCGACTATTTTTCACCGTGATTCTTCTTCGTTTGCCAAAGGAATCATTTCTTGCCACAGCTGACACATATCTATAATAATTCAACACTATTTTCAAATAGAATTTTGCAATTAAAAACTTACACAAAATACGTTTGAACTGATCAGCCATTATGAGACTCGAACATGCGCAGACCGCATGTTTATTTAATCCCGAGATTCTACTTGCAAATAGTGTTGAATTTTTTATAATTTGTGTCAGATATGTTGAAAATTGATTCCTTTTGCGAAAAATAAAAAAAATCACGGTGAACAATAGAAGGTAAGGGTTCCTAAATAGCCTAAAAACAGAGGTGGGGAAGAGCGGTATTTTCATATTGCAGCTATATAGGAAGCTATAGGAACTGTCAGCGGACATTATCTAATAAGAGACCGTTTCTAAAGGAACTACCTTAGATAGTGAGCCAGCTACTTACTGGGACAAATAACTGAGGTCCTGTGTATACATTTGAAGTAAGAGTCGGCCGTAGCACACTGTCCTGGCATAATTTCCCTCATAGTATATTATGGCGTATGCCCGTCTACATCAGCCCAGATGGAGCAGACAAGTAGGAAGTTAAACCCCATTTCATTTATATCCCATGGCCCCTATAGCTTTTGACCCGATGTCAACCATTTGATTAACAAATCAGCTTTGAACTCGCCACAACAGACCCATTTCATTGGCTAATCCCTTACATCAACCAGAATGCGGTTTGTATAACGACTCTTCCAGATCCTAGTGCAGTAAAAACAAGCAAAACGAAATTTTGAACTGTAAGAAACGAAACGAAATAGGATCTGTGTTTTAATCAGACTGGGCTGGGAATAGTTCGTATACAAAATGTTCAACTCTATTAAAAAGAATTGTCGAGGCAATATCAGTAACGAGGAATTCATCTGTCATCATTAAATATAAGACAGGGATAACTTCAGTCATCATTTTGCCTTTAAGAGAAATGGGATTTAACATGGACTTCAAACTAGGTCATGTGGGGACTATCATATGGTAAATAAATCAGTAATTCTTTTGCGTGTTAGTTATCAGGAGTGAGGAAACCTGAGGATTCAGAGAACCCACATGGTTAGGCAGGCGACCCCTACTTCTAGTCATGTACAAGCTCGGGATTGAAATCCTATTTGACTCAAAAAGAGAGAAATGGGGTTTAACGTCCACTCGACACAATCTAGATCATTTCGGGACTAACATACGATTCAATTTTATTTCATTCATTCGCTTAGGGGTCTTTAGCAGCGGGAGGACCCGGAGAAAACCCACAAGGTTGGACAGGTGACCCTATTCTTTGTCACGTACAACCGGGGAATCGAAACCCCACCAGTTGACTCAATGACAGACCATATGATTCAGCGCATGGGTGCTAACCATTCGGCCATCCACCCCCCCCCCCCATTTGACTCAAATGACAAGACTTAAATTGTCTAGTTCATAATAGTGCTGGGTATTACCACTGCTGTTTCGATACGACATGTATAACGATTCAGGTACTACGATATGATTCGCATAATGATTCATAACCAGGTCAATATTTACCAAGAAAGCAACAGGTTAAATGAATAAAATTGATATTTTTGGTCTTGCCGATGTCGAAAAAATAAAATTGTTTGAGATCACGAAATTGATGTGGATCAAAATAAGGACCCACACAATCTAAAAGTATTAGTGTACATGTATCCATGGATTATGTCTGACGTGGATATTTAAAAGTGACGGGTTACTTACTGAAGTGAAAAAAAAAAACAAACAAAAAAACAATTGAGATAAATCGATTCAACATCTCGTAATTCAATACACGAATCATGAGGAAGTAAATCATGTTACATCGTAATGGAAGGGAACAGTTGAGTTTCATTCAAACTGGATATAAACCAAACAAGTTTTCACCTGTGAATAGGTACGAAAGGTATGAAGAGCTTACACCTGTGTATGGGTACTGTACAAGAAGTTTACACCTGTGTATGGGTACGAGGAGTTTACACCTGTGTATGGGTACGAGGAGTTTACACCTGTGTATGGGTAGGAGGAGTTTACACCAGTGTATGGGTACGAGGAGTTTACACCAGTGTATGGGTACGAGGAATTTACACCTGTCTAAGTTGAACCTACCTGTAAATAATTTCCTTGAGAATCCACTATGTTGTTGTAATCACCTCCTGTAAAATAAATAAAAATAAAATCAGTTTAACGTAAACAAATTTACTGTGAAAAGTACAAATATAAATTTAAGGGTTGGTTTACATGAAAGGGATTGACCCTTGTTGCGGGTCGGGTGATGTCATTCTATTTATAAAGGAGTATTTATAAGGGAAGTAGACTGGTCTTGGAAACCCGACATCTCGGTTAGAAGGACAAGGCCCACATTTAATGTAAACATAGTTAAAGGCTGAAAAACGGGTCAATGTGTTCATTTAATTTATGACAACTCTTTTTTTTTTTAAACAAGAGCTGGCCATTTCATAAAAGCAAGAAAACAGGATAGGCCTCCATTTTAGCTGAGATGGTATAAACAAGCTTGGTTCAACTAACAGGTTCAGGTATCAGCACTAATCCTTTCCCATATTACAAGGACATCAGCTAAAACTACTTACATACAAAGGTGCATTTTGTATATATATGAGAGAGAGAGAGAGGGAGAGAGAGAGAGAGAGAGAGAGAGAGAGAGAGCATAAACTATGTCAGTATTTCTAGACTAACAGGGGATCACAGTGGCTAAGACGCTGGCTCGCTAGCCTGGAGGTCGGGTGTTCGATCCCTGCATTGCCCGACAAAGTTCATCAAGACTTTCCGGCGTGGTTCCCCCTTGTCAGTGTTGCAGGACTGAGGGCCTGACAAGGACAGCTGTCTAGTCATTCGGATGAGACCAAAAACCGAGATCCCATGCACACATTGGCGTGCACGTAAGAGATCCCTTGACAGTTGGAATTTGATATAAGAGTAGGCCGTAGTGCCGCTGTCCAGGCAAAATTTCCCTCATAGCACACTGTATGGCGTATGCCCGTCTTCATTAGCCCAGTTCGGAGCAAAACAGTAGGACGTTTAACCCCATTTCATTTCATTTTCAAGACTAACAAAGTGGTATTTATATTTCAATTATTATTTTGCGATCGTGAGTCTACAGAAATGATATAAGATATGTGGCCATGTTTAACCACATGATTAGTTCATTTATCCCAAATATTAATCACCTACAGTGCGATTATAAGCATTACGGGTCAATGATCAGTCCCGCGTGTCGTTCCTTTTGGCCAACCGAGTTCTAGATTACATCAGATGTACGTTTTTTCCCCGATCTCGACTACTAGACATTGGCCGTGTTTGACAGGTTAGTAGACCAACAACTAAGGCTACTCCAGGGGCCTGTTTCACGAAATTTTAACTAAGATAAAATCCAAATTTTAATAATTTGATTGGATAATATTGGGTTGATTTAAGTGCTTAGCCAATCAGAATTTAAGTATCTACTAAAATTTGGATTTTATTTTTAGTTAAGATTTCGTGAAACAGGGCCCAGGTCAATAATAAAATAAAAGATATTTAAAAATCCCCACACAGCAGTAGTACAAAAACAGACTTGTAATTGAATAAGAGTTGGTTTATTCATCTTCATCACTGTTTATCAATAAAACTACTGTATGTATGGTAACTTAGATGTGAGGCATTTCCTGTCTCCCACCACTACATGTAGGTCAAACAGTAATTTATAAATATGAATGCAAATTTATTGTATTATAACTTACTTGTAGGTGGTGTCTGTCCTCTTTGTGGTCCACTAAAATAATGGATTAAGGAATCAAATATCAAACTAAACAAAAATGTAACAAATTTAGTGATTATTTTTGAAGTTTGGACACTATAATATTAAACATATATTCTCACGTCATTTGTAAACTACAATATTATCAAAGAAGATGCATCTCAAGAAAGAATATCAATACAAAAAATTCTTCAATTCCATTCAATATTTACACAGAAATGATCAACTAAAAATCTTCAACGTCAGTCCATCTGCCAATCTACATGTACGCAAACATGTAATATGTACATGCCTATCTTATCTATCAGTAAATGTTTTGATGGGCCTATATTTAATTCAAGCAAGAGCAACAACCGTTGATATTTTGATCTTGATTTCTTAAATGTTAATTAGAGTTCCTTTTTGGCTGTGGATAAATTAGATATTGATTTTGTCCAAATAAAAGTAATCGATGACCACTGCCTTCTTAAAGTTAAAGTTTAAACCACAAACATATTTTAGTCAATGTTTAGATTCATCTACTAACTTGTCATTCAAAAACGTACACTTTCATTGTTTCATAGCTTTAGAGTGAAGAAACCACGTAAAAATTCAATATTTGTCCCACTTTTCTAGGTATTTATGATGAAAAATATTTTGAGTTGTTAATCATATACAGCCTAATAAATTATAAAATAAGCCTCTGATTTAATAATATCAAAGAACAAAGAAAATAAAAGTTTATCAGAGATATAAATAAGTGTTGAGTCATAGGCCTTTTGTGGCCAAAAATAACACAAATCTGTGGATTCAGTATTCACTGTTTTCTTTATTAAAATTACTTGGTGACAAATTCACTAAAAATTTTCGTCATGCAAATTTGAAATTAGGATTTTATTAATTGGAATTCATATGAATTATTTTCATAACCAATGAATAATAGCCTACGTGTAGTTGATATTTAATAATTTCCCTTGTTTACCTGGCTATCAGCCAAAAACGTTTAAAATTATAAACGGTTACAATAAATGAAACCCATTTAGTAGGCCTAGATCTACTCCCTTTAATTTTCCCGACAATGACCTCATAACCATAATAATAGACTGTGTAAACAATAGATTAGATTCCAAGAACTGGGGAGTCTCGTGCAATTTGGAACATTGATACGCTTCGTCGATTATGTTACGACATGTTAACTCACGTGTCATTTGAAAATACCATGCATTGCCGGCATGGAAAGTATGACCCGACCCCGCCTACATTTTCCACTTCCTTATTTCACTAAATTCACCACACAGAACTACACAATTGCATAATAAAACACTTGAGTAAACATTCCACAAATGCAAAAATCCATAAAAATATGTTGAAGTAAAATGTGGTGATCGTACCATCTGTCTTCGCCGGGGTGATGATAGCACGACAAAATGGCATGTCGTTATCACAAATTCTAGCATAGGGGGTCACAATACTTCTGTCTACGTGCGTCTAGGTGAGTAAATAACATATTTCTGGATTATTATTATTCTTTAAAAAGGATACGCTATGTTTCTGGCTTGTGTCTGGGCTATTTGAACTGGGGGTGATGCGGAAGTTTTCCCTTTCTGAACGTTCATCTCAACGTGAAAAGTCGAAGTAGAGTCCTAGTAAGGACCAAATAGAGGCTTGTTCCCAAGCTCTGTCCCCTATATAACATAGAACTATAAGTTGGAAGCCCATCTGATGATAATACACGATTGATTAATACTTTTGTACATTACACATATGTTAAAATTAAATAAGGATGGCTCTGATTTAAAATTTTAAGACAATATGGCCTTTCAACATTACCTGCGAGGAGACGGCTTTCGGCGAATTCCGTGAAGCGTTGTTTCACTTCCGGTTCAGAGGTCAGGGGTGACGATCATAATAATGATCACGAGTTGTTTTATGTCAAGAATAGGAATGGCTGGTTGTTGTTGGTAAGTGTGTCAGTACGTAATTGTGTTTGTGACCCCGACAAAGCTCTTACAATCAGTGATTTATTTGACTCGATATTTTATCGATTCGACAGGTGTAATTGAAATGTACTAGCGATAAATCTGTGGTCTTACCCGTCCATGAACTTCGTGTATTAACTCTGGCAAAAATTTAAAAAAATGAATAGTGTCAAGTGAGCCTAGATTCACCCCACTTGACCTGTTCAGTACTTGTATTTTCTGGTGGATGAGAGGGGAGGGGTGGGGTGCATCACTTACACTCATATATGTAAAAAGTTGTAGGTCATGCAGTTTGTAGGTCTATTTATTTTGCCCTATTTTTAACTAACCGAACTTAAATAATAAGCCCAGGACAAATATTACTTTAAAAATAAAATAGTGTTGAATTGTTTATAAAGTGAAATAATGAATGCAATTATTTTGTTTTATTATTTTGATTGAAAGAAGTTATGAACCCACCCACAAAATGTTAGGCCTAATATTTCTGATGAATTGATATGCACAATTGAATGCCTTAATAAAATTGTGACCAAACCATGCAATGCCAATGGACCTGAAACAGAAATAATTTCCATGGCAACATGGTAAATTATATTCATTACCATCAAACCTGGAAATAAGGCACCTGACATAGACATTGTCAGACGTTGGAAGCGGAAGTAAAATACAACTAACTCACACATATCTTTGTAAATATTGCCCTGGTTATGAATCGTATTGTAGCACCTGAATCGCAATTAGGTATGTATCGTATCGTGACTGCAGTGGCAATACCCAATACTTCAGGGTTTGCCACGAAAGCTCCTACCCTTTTGCCTGTGGTGCAGAACAGAGGGTGGGGTAAAGAGAGAGAGAGAAATGAAGTTTAACGCCCACTCGACACATACTAGGTCATTTCAGGACTAAAACATGGTTCAGTTTTATTTCAATAATTTGCTTGCACGTAGGGGTAAAGGAAAGTAGCTAGTGTCAGGATGATAAACCCTGTGTCATCATTGGCATGCTTATTTAATGGGGGGGGGAATGGCCGAATGTTAGCATGTGTGCGCTGCATCATAAGGTCTGTCATTGAGTGATTGCGATCCACGGCTTGAACGTGACGCGTAGGGTCGTCTGTAGGGTCCAACCTCTTGGGTTTTCTCCTCATCCTCCGGTTTCCTCCCACTGCTAAAGACCCATAATTCTTCTAGCGGTTTATTGACAAAATTAAACCATATGTTAGCCCCAAATCCAATTTCTCTCTCTCGATTTCATTTGTGTTGAATTGACGCTACATTACTTTTGTTTTTCAGATGTCTTGCTGTTATGTGAAAGACAGTTTTTATAATTTGTGGAATTTGACTGGATAACAAGAGGACAACAGTTTAGATTACCATGGCAATATTTATAAGACAATAGAAGTTGACTTTTACGTGATCTGTAACAGGGAACAAACTTGCATTTTAACTTTTAAAGGGTCCATTAAATTTTACCAAATGGCCTAAATCCAGTATTGTATAAAAAAATTTATAGATAATTATTTTTTTTAAGGCAAAAGTTTTTTTTTTTTATTAATCACAAGATGTTCTACCTCAGTTATTTTTCGCCTTCATCCAATGTAACCAATAGCAACTGTAGCAATGGCGTTCAGTGGATATGGACTGTGATGGGAGACTGTGTTGTGACCGATAATCAGATTGCATCCACATATTTTGGACTTGGATCCATCGTAGTCTGGATGTTGTGTGGAATACCGTAAGTAGCCTGTAACAGTTTAGTTACCGCTGTGGCTCAGTGAGTAAGACACTCAATCACCACTAACCTGGAGGGGGTGGGGTGGATGGCTGAATGGTTAGCGTGCGCGCGCTGTATCATTAAGTCTGTCATTGAGTCGACTGGCGTGGTTTCGAATACCCGGTTGTACGTGACAAGGAGTAGGGTCGCCTGTCCAACCTTGTGGTATTCCGCGTGTCCTCCGGCTTCCTCCCACTGCTAAAGACCCCTATGCGCAAGCGAATTATTGAAAGAAAATTAAACCATATGTTAGTCCCGAAATGACCTAGTTTGTGTCGAGTGGACGTTAAACCCCCATTTCTCTCTCTCTCTCTAACCTGGAGGTCTTGGGTTTTGCTCCCGGGGTTGGCCGAGAAAATTCGCAGGATTTTCCGATGTGTTTTCCCCTTGTCAGTGGAGCAGGAAGGAGCATCTGACAAGGAAAATGACTAGTCATTCGGAAGGTACAAAAACAAGGTCCCATGGACACATTGGCGTGCATATGGTAAAACTTTGACAGTTGGGGAATGAGTGAGAGAGAGTTCATTCATTAAAGCTCCTGAGGGGTAGAGAGAGGTAGGAGGGTTTTTTCCTCCACTGTAAGCCCAATCACTTAACGTGGTTGGGGGGTGGCCGAATTGTTTAATGCATTGAGTCATGTGGTGTGGTTTCGATTCCCTGCTTGTACAAGGAGTAGGGTCGGCTATCCAATCTCATGGGTTTTCTCTGGAGCTCTACGGTTTCCTCCCAGAGCTAAAGAGTAAAGACCCCCCCCCCCCCCCCCCCCGACGCAAGCGAATTGTTAAAACGAAATTAAACCATATGAGACTCAAAATGACGTAGTTTGTGCATCGTGATTCACCTTCTCTTGATTTGCATATTGAATCGCGAGATGCTGAATTGATTTTCGCGATTCTTTTTTTATGTTATTTTTGTCGCTTCAGTAAGTAACCTGTCACTGTTAAGTATCCATCTTACATCGTGATATAAAACAGTTTAACTTCTTCGACATCGGCAGGACTAAAAATATCAATTATTCATTTATCCTGTTGTTTTCTTGGTAAATGTTGACCTGGTTATGAATCATGGTACCAATCATATCGTAGCACCTCAATCGCAATACGTGTTGTATCGTGACTGCAGTGGCAATACCTAGCACTACAGAATACAGTACTTCCCACCTGGACAGAGCTAAATATGTACGAAAAATTTGACAAATTAGATGATTTTTGGTGATTTTAAACGATTTTTACGAATTTTTAAACAAAGATTTGATATTAAATGAATGTGAAAGAAATTAGTGAGAGAGAGAGAGAGAGAGATGGGTTTAACGTCCACTCGACACAAACTAGGTCATTTGGGGACTAACACATGGTTCAATTTTATTTCAATAATTCGCTTGCGCGTAGGGGTCTTTAGCAGTGGGAGGAAACCGGAGGACCCGGAGAAAACCACGAGGTTGGACAGGCGACCCTACTCCTTGTCACGTACAACCGGGGATTCGAAACCAAGCCAGTCGACTCAATGACAGACTTTATGATACAGCGCGCGCACGCTAACCATTCAGCCATCCACCCCACCAAGAAATTAGTGCGAGATACACAAGATTAAATGATACCTGGGTTACTGTGTGATAACTGTATCACCAGGGTATTATTCCACGGGGAATACCCAGCACCAATTTCTATCCCTACATGAATCACAAGAATTTTTTTTATATTTTCATATTATAGTCAGATGATCCAAAATTGTAAGAATTTACCTGGAATGGCAGGCATATCATTCTTATTAATGTTTCAATGGTTGCTAGGAGATGTGACTAATTTGATTGGCTCAATATTAACCAATCAACTTAAAGTCCAGGTAATATACGCCATCGTGAATTCATGTCACACATGTCTATACCCCTTTTGAAATTTTCTATGTTGATATAAATAAACTCTATGTATATTTCTGTTCAGGTTAAGTTCTTTCTTTTAAATAGTATGATAAGCAATTTGTTTGTAAAAAGTTTAACAAAGGCGCCTATTGAATTCCAGCAATTTTCATTAATTACATGTAGAGTTATGGCCCTTGTTTCACTTTATTGAACCTTGTTGTTTGTTTTAGATCTATGTAGCAGTATGGTATGTGACGGCCGATTTGGTCCTACTCAGTCAGTATATAGCTTATAGATATCAGAAAAGAAGATTAGCTTTAGGTAATAATAATAGACATACTCTTTATTAATCTGTTTTACAGAGTATTACAAAAGTCTTCTAATATTTCTGTAAAAGATGACTGCCTTCAACACATGACGCATTATCATGCGGCGTCAATCATTGGCTCGTTTGCGCATACATTGTTTACATAAAATGTTACTGATTCGAGCAGAATGGCGCCTTTTACTCATTTAAATACCCATTTATACTAAAATAGGAAATAATTTTTACCTACAAATACTTCAAACGTCTTTATTTATTTTTCTAATACATAAAAAATATGTTTTAGAATTTAATTTATCGGAGGAAAAAAGTTAATATTTGTTTCTTATTAAGTTGCATCGATGTCATCCTTATCAGTGATTGTCGCGGCTTCGCGAATATTCACTGCTGGTCAGTGTGACTGTTTGTATGACATATCGTCAAGCCTAGACATAAGGGCACCTGTCAAAGACTCGGTCAGGTACAACGTATTTATTATAATATATACATGAGAGATAATCTGTGTCTGATTGTGTCTGTGGCAGGTACCTTCTGTCCAGGCATGGGTATAGTGATAAAAAAGGGGGGGATGGCCGAATGGTTAGTGCGTGTGCGCTGTATGATAAGGTCTATCATTGAGTCAAATGGTGTGGTTTCTATTCCTGGGTTGTATGTGACAAGGTGTAGGGTCGCGTGTCCAACCTCATATTTCTTCTCTTGGTTTTCCGGATTCCTCCCACTGCTAAACCCCCTACACACATGCGAATTATTGAAATAAAATTGAACCATGTGTTAGTCCCGAAATGGCTTAGTTTTTGTCGAGTAGATGTTAACTCTCATTCTAATTGAGCTAGAATGTTCAAACTTGGTGTAGGTGTATGTTGATGGAGTTCGAAGATGAGCATTTTCTGCTTCGGGTAAGCAATTTGATTGGTCAAGACTTTGGATCACGATAGCTTTCCTTCTAATTGAGGTAGAATGTTCAAAACTGTTTTCTTAGGTCTGATTAATGGTTTGGGTGCTTAAGCTTGATATAGTGCCTTAAAAAATAATGGCAGAATGGGGCAGAGGTTAGATACGACTTTAAAGTGTGTTGATAAAGAACCTGAGATTCAGTGATCGTTACTTGCATTTCTCTGAAAATATATATTTCACGACTTAAACATACATTATGCAAGAGCTAATTCGGATTATTGCAAGTCTTAATTTAGGCTTCAGATGTTATAAATTAGATCTTTATTTAAACAATAAGCCCAAAATCAACTCTGTAGACCCACGGATGGCTCGGCTACAGCTCGGATTTAAATAGGATTTCACTTATTGATTAAATCAAATATGGCGCACCCTGATGAGAATTCGTCAGTTAGATCGAGGCCGCATGCCTTGGAAAACTTAACTTGATAATCGAGATATGTAGGTGGAGTTAACGCCTGTCAATCAAACGATCGGCCAAGGTTAAGGCACATTTCACTACCATTTCTAGTCAAATATTACAACGATGATAACTATGTTCAGAATAAAGTAATTTGACTGAAATTTTCAATATATTCTTCTTTCATCATCTACTTTTGAACTGTTATAGCAAGAATGGCCAACTCTCTATAAAAATCTCCCATAATGTATCTTTAATAAACAATGTACATTAGTCAAGAATATTGCAAATACTGGAGCATAGAACTGTCAACAATTTTAAAATGAGAGAGAGAGAAATGGGGTTTAATGTCCACTCGACACAAATGAGGTCATTTCGGGACTAACATATGGTTTAATTTTATTTCAATAATTCGCTTGCGCGTAGGGGTCTTTAGCAGTGGGAGGAAACCCACGACGTTGGACAGGTGACCCTACTCCTTGTCATGTACAACCGGGGAATCGAAAACACGCCAGTTGACTCAATCTTATGGCGTAGACACTAACCATTCAGCCATCCACCCCACCTCTCTCCCCATTTCAGAATTAAATAATGATAAATTATCCTGATTGGTATAGATTTGTTGTTCTAATGTTCTGTATTCTGATCTTGTACTTTTCTTTCTTACCCAGATGTGAAGAACAAGAATATACAAGCGGTGCTGTGTTTAGGTGGATTATTTCTCATGGGAAGTCTGAAATCATTACAGCAGTTATCTCCCCTTGACAATAGTTTTTCAGTCCATCATCCTAGTGGTAGGAATCTTTTGATGACCCCACAAGTTGGTCATATACATATGTTTAAGGTAAATTAATTTAAAATATATCGGTTGAAGTTTGTTTAAATTTTTGATTTTATTGCATGTGCCTTATTTATTTGTTTGATTAAAATAAGTGACCGGACTGTAAAAATGAAGGAGCCACGGTGGCTAGGTGGTTAAGACGCTGGCTCGCTAGCCTGGAGGTTGGGTGTTCGATCCCTGCATTGGCCGAGAAAGTTCATCCTGATTTTCCGACAGGGTTTCCCCTTGTCAGTTGTGCAGGAAAGAGGGCCTGACAAGGACAGCTGTCTAGTCGTTCGGATGGGACGAAAAACCGAGGTCCCGTGTATACATTGGAACGCACATAAAAGATCCCTTGGCAGTTGGAATTTGATATAAGAGTAGGCGATAGTGCCGCTGCCCGGGCAAAATTTCCCTCATAGCACACTGTATGGCGTATGCCTGTCTTCATTAGCCCAGTATTGGAGCAGAACAGTAGGACGTTAAACCCCACTTCATTTCATTTCATTTTGTAGAAATGAAATGAACTGGCATTTACATTCTTACTGTTCTGTGCTGTCTGGGCTAATGAAGACGGGCATGCAGTGTGCCATGAGGGAAATTTTTCCCAGTCATCGGTATTATGGCCTACTCTTATTTCAAATTCTAACTGCTAAGGGATCTTTTATATGCCCAACAATCTATACATGGAACCTTGGTTTTTTGTCCTTTCCAAAAGATTAGACAGCTCTCCTTGTCAGGTCCTCCGTCCTAAACCACTGACAAGGAGAAACCTCACGGAAAATCTGGGTTCCGTTACATGCGAGGGTCCCGCTGGCTAAGACGCTGGCTCGCTAGTCTGTGATTTTTGACCATTTTTGCAATGTTATATAATAGACTATAGAAATAATTGGATGTGGTTCTTGGATAAGATTCAGGTGGTTGATGCTGATCAAGCTGGATCAAGTGCCTTAAAAAAATCACTGGAAGTCTCTGGGTGTGTCCTTTATAAAAATAATGACTGGAAGTCTCTGAACATGTCCCTTATAAAAATGATGACTGGAAGTCTCTCGGCGTTTCCCTTATAAAAATAATGACTGGCAGTCTCTTGGCTTGTTCGTTATAAAAATAATGACTGGAAGTTTCTGGACATGTCCCTTATAAAAATAATGACTGGAAGTCTCTGAGCATGTCCCTTATAAAAATAATGACTGGAAATGTTTGGGTGTGTAGTCGTAGTTATTAGTCTGATAATTAAATTAACAGAGACTATAACCAAGAAGAAACCCACAAGGTTAGACAGACAGCCCCTAGGGACTCCTTGTCACGTACAAGCTTGGAATCGACACCGCACCATTTGACTCAGTGACGGTCCTTATAATCTACTAATGCACACTCGTTAGACCACCTGGCCACCGACACCCCTATTAATAATGATGTTTTATATGATGGGGATCATGTGGCTAAGTGGGTAAGACGCTGGCTCGCTAGCCTGGAGGTCGGGTGTTCGATCCCTGCATTGGCCGAGAAAGTTCATTCAGATTTTCCGGCGTGGTTTCCCCTTGTCAGTGATGCAGGACGGAGGGCCTGACAAGGACAGCTGTCTAGTCCTTCGGATGAAACGAAAAACCGAGGTCCCATGTACATATTGGAATGCACGTAAAAGATCCCTTGGCAGTTGGAATTTGATATAAGAGTAGGCTGTAGCGCCGCTTCCGGACAAAATTTCCCTCATAGCACACTGTATGGCGTATGCCCGCTTCATTAGCCCAGTTTAGGAGCAGAACAGTAGGACGTTAAACCCCATTTCATTTCATTTTCGTTTTATATGATTATAGAATAATGTCGAGTTAACAGGATATATTATAGGAGCAATCTCAGCTGTATTCTACATCGGTTCTAGATTATCTCAAATATATACAAACGTAAGTATTTCAATATCTCAAATATTTGTCCCCTGCCTTTCGAAGAAAGCAGGGGACTATTAAAATGGGTTCGTCCGTCTGTCCGTCTGTCTGTCTGTCTGTCCGTCCGTCCGTCCGTCCGTCCGTCCGTCACACTTTTTGGGACACAATAACTCTCTTCCTAATTGAGCTAGAATGTTCAAACTTGGTGTATGTGTTTATTAGGTCAATGCCTTGATGGAGTTCGAAGATGAGCATTTTCCGCTTAGGGTAAGCAGAGATAAGCAATTTGATTGGTTGATACTTTGGGGCACGATAACTCTCTTCCTAATTGAGCTAGAATGTTCAAACTTGGTGTATGTGTTGATTAGGTCAATGCCTTGATGGAGTTCGAAGATGAGCATTTTCCGCTTAGGGTAAGCAGAGATAAGCAATTTGATTGGTTGATGCTTTGGGACACGATAACTTTTAATTGAGCTAGAATGTTCAAACTTGGTGTATGTGTTTATTAGGTCAATGCCTTGATGGAGTTCGAAGATGAGCATTTTCCGCTTAGGGTAAGCAGAGATAAGCAATTTGATTGGTTGATACTTTGGGGCACGATAACTCTCTTCCTAATTGAGCTAGAATGTTCAAACTTGGTGTATGTGTTGATTAGGTCAATGCCTTGATGGAGTTCGAAGATGAGCATTTTCCGCTTAGGGTAAGCAGAGATAAGCAATTTGATTGGTTGATGCTTTGGGACACGATAACTTTAGTTCTAATTAAGTGAGATTGATGAAACTTGGTGTATAGATTTATTATATGAATACCTTAACTAAGTTCGATAATGAACATTTTTTGCTGAGGGTAAGCAGAGTGATAAGCAATTTGATTGGTAGAAACTTTGGAACACAATAACTCTCCTTCTAATTGAGGTAGAATGTTCAAACTTGGCATAGGTGTCTATTAGGTAAATGTTTAAACTTGATGTATATGTAGATGTTCATTAGGTGAATGTCTTGACTGAGTTCAATAATTAACATTTCGAGCTGAAGCTAAGCAGAGCTAATCGATTTCATTTGTCGATGGTTTGGGACAAGATAATCTTGATTCTATCTGATAGAGAGTGATGAAACTTAGTGGAAAAAATAAATGTGCGATTAATTAATATGTGTCATCTATTTATTTTGCAATTTCGGCGGGGGACATCAGCCTCACTGTTGGCTTGTTAAATATTGTATTTGTTACGGCAGAAGTCCTTATTTGCGTCAATATTTGATCGGTGTCCATAAATTAGACGATACAGAATCCTAGTGCATAATTTGTACTATACATAACCATGTAAACGCAAAAATGGCTGCCGTTTGGGCAGTAAAAACGAAAACGCAACAATGAATAACGTCCCTAAGTCCCCTCACAAGTTGTAAGTGGATTTTATATTGTTGTAAATATGCTATAAGAAGTTGTAGATCATTTTTATGTCAAATTCACGTATTGCTAACATATGTATATGATGATTTTAGGCATTTAAAAGTTATGTCTGTCGCGCACATGGTTTTGTAAGATTTGGCGACTTGTCAAATGAGGCAGACGCAGGTCTTTTGATAATGTTAGGTTAATGTAATTCCATTAGGCCAAAAGCTTTGGTTATCAGTTAAGTTTATATCTTTGACTTACATTATTCATTGTAATAGTATTGTAATTCGCTGCTATTTTTATAATTTCAGTGAAACCGCATGTTCTTTTGTTGATTGAACCGCATGTTCGTTTGTTGATTGAACCGCATGTTCGTTTGTTGATTGAACCGCAAGTTTGTTTGTTGAATTGCTCTACTTATGTTCACTTCGCTCAGTTTATAATGGGCATTGAATTGTTTAAGCCTTCTACAAAATGTGTTAGTAACGAATAATGATGGACATGTATTTCAACGCAACGTAATAATGTAACGTCCATTCCTGTATTTAACGCAATGTTCATTCCCGTATGTATTTAACGCAACGTACCGATGTTATAAACGTAAAGTAATAAACCTATTCACAAACTGAACGCATGTTTGACTTAGGGGGACAACGCAACGGGATTGCTTCTGCAAGTCACTATTGACTGTAGTTGCCTTCTACAGTATTTTTATAAAGCGATATTATTTCTATACAGATCCAAGGAAATAGGAGTAGAAAGACCATGGCTCAATTTGCTGCCGATATTTAAATTCCAAAAATTCACACAGGTTGCTTTCATGAAAATACTAGTTATGTTTTGTGAAAGTCTATGAATTGGAAGGCTGTTAAATCAGATATTTATCAAATATTGGGTTTCACAGTGTAACGGTAGTCGTGCGATAGACGAAGTGTTCCGATTGCTAACTTTGTCTACTGGCTGTTTGTCGGCTAATTTCCTATTAAAGGGAGAATTAATTGATGTTGTTTGTTGTTTCTCTTTAATTTTGCCTTTACGTCTTAAGCTTGTATAATATCATAGTTTATATTATTAGTTTGAGTATTAAATATGTAGATATTTATTCAGGGAATCAAATTATGATTATAGGCATTTAATTAAGTTTATTATGTTTACCTAATAAGCTTCCCTCAAAATACGTGGTCTTTCGTAGATCATCATGGCAGCCAAATGCATGAAATCGGGAAAGGGGTGAAGTCAAAAAGGTTATTACGTTTTATAAACACATAATTTATATATTTATAGTATGCTAATATGTTTATTGTATGTTTAAGTACATGTCAGTATTATTGTGTGCTTTGCCAGGCAATGTTTTAGTCATATTAAGTCAGGTTTATAATTCGTGGAGACAGCGCTGTCGTCCGCTGTCGTCTGTCAGTGTCATCGTCCTTGGCCTTTGAACAGGGCTACGTATTGTTTACGTTGTCTTCATTGTCGTCATTAAAGTTAGTCAATCAGTACTGCATGGTAATCCGATGTATTTTTCTTATTTCAGTTTTCACGTAATGTTTAGTGAAATCTTCAGAATGTACATGTAATATTCAGTGAAAGCTTCAGAATATAATATTCAGCATGTAATCAAGTATTATTCAGCATCGTCAGTAATGAGTAATATTCAGCCATGGTGTCTTCAGTATAATATGTAGCACGTTGATTATAATCAGAATTAAAAGAGGAATTCATCCGTATTCGAATTCTCTCATTAGGCTATGTAGGCCCATGCGTATGCGACCTGATTTGTGTAAGCTGATGTGTGAACTGTTTATATTTGTAGCTGTTATTTAATATATAAAGTTTATTACATTGAAGAACTACACGTCGTTGTTTATATTTCGCTAAATGTTTCAGTGTAGAAAGCATTGACTTCAGAGTATTCGTCCGCAGAGCATCATTCCTCTGTCAATATTATTTGGCTGCTTCAGCGATAGAGGCATGCTGTTACAGTGAAAACTTTATTCACATTCGTTTATAAGTAGGCGAACTTTTAATTCATTTGCGTTATATGAGTAGACACTTCATATCGCATACTGAGAAGAGACTGGTGTTATGTATTCAGCAACTTCACCATTGACAATATTTCTAATAAGCAGTATATTATCGGTGATTTCGATTTCGGATAAATTATATACAAGTACAATGGCATCCGGTGGTAATGATACCTACAAGATAAAATCATCTCATCATTCTTCATCAAAGAGATCTCTTCAAACACGAAGTGCTGCATCGCGGTCGCACTCTGTAAAAGCTGACATAGCTATTGAAGCTGCTGCACTTAAAGTAAAACTCAAATATCTAGAGGAAGAAACCAGGAAACAGTCAGAACTTACACGTATTCAGATGATACGAGATTTGGATATGGCGGAAGCTAAACTTCAAGCCTTAGATCAAGTTGAAAGAGAAGACAGTTGTGTCTTGACTGACAGTAGTGAATCTGATAAAAGCCGTCATAATACATGTAGTCACAATGCTCCTGAAATTAATGCGCGTCAAGATCGTCAACGTAATTTTGTACATGTACCTCTACCTACTGCTAATCAAGATGTAAATCAATATGTTCAAAGTTACATTAATAACATTCCTGACTCAAGATATTCGCCAACTGAAGTTTCAGTGGAAAATTGTGGTGGTAACATTAGTAACAATGAAACTTTATCATCAATTGCTAAAATGTTTGCAGAACAAGTTAATTTAAGTAAATTGCCAGCTCCTGAACCTATAATATTTTCTGGCGATCCATTGAAGTATCCAACATGGAAATCTGGGTTTCGTTCTTTGATAGAACACAAGAATATTCAACCGGTCGAAAAAATGTTTTATCTTAAAAAATATTTAAGTGATGTTGCACGTGAATCCGTTGAGAGTTACTTTTTATTACAAACTGATAACGCCTTTGAAGATGCAAAGTCCTTATTAGAAGAAAGATTCGGTAATCCCTTTATTATTTCGCAAGCTTTTCGCGACAAGCTAGAAAGTTGGCCGAAGATATATCCTCGCGATGGTTTGGCACTTCGAAAATTTGCAGACTTTCTCAGACAGTGTGAATCTGGTATGAACTCTATTGATAGTCTTAAAGTTCTCGATGATCCACGAGAAAATAAGAAACTTTTGATTAAGTTACCAGATTATTTAGTCAATTGTTGGGCTCGTATCGTGCACGACTATAAGCAGAAATATCAGCAGTTTCCTCCCTTTAGGGAATTTGTAAAATATTTATCAAGAGAGGCAGATATCGCTTGCGATCCAGTTACGTCCTGTAGTTATAAGTCAAACTCAAATCGAAGTAATCCATATGAACCTAGGAGAGCTGCAACGGCTCATGCTTTGGAAACTCATGAAAATCGTCAGTTTAATCGCTCCGAACGAAAACCGTGTACCGTTTGTAAAGGTCAGCATCACTTGGACACATGTTCTGAATTTTTAAAGAAGAATTTGAAAGATAGAAAGGAGTACATTGCAAATAATCGCCTGTGTTTTGGCTGTTTAAGCTCGGGTCACATGTCAGTATTTTGTCGAAGCAGATTGTGGTGTAATATCTGTCATAAAAGGCACCCAACTTCTCTTCATGGTGATGTTCCGGAAAGAAACGATCCAGTTGCAAGGTCTTCCGTTGCGCATAGTATTAAAGTTGACTGGTACGACGTTGGTAATAAAAGCGCAATGATTGTACCCGTGTGGATATCCTTTGAAGACAGAGAACGTTTAGTTTATGCATTGCTTGATACTCAGTCGGACAATACTTTTGTTTTAGACACTTTGTTAGATTCTCTTGGTGTTGATGGACAACAAATCCAGCTTTCACTTTCAACAATGACTGCTGAAAATCAGATAATAAATAGCCGTAAAGTTCCGGGTTTGTGTGTTCGAGGATATGACAGTAATATAATCATCAATCTACCTCCAGTTTATTCCAGAAGAATAATGCCGGCGAATAGAAGTCATATTCCTAATTCCGACATGGCTAGACGTTGGCCTCACTTACACTGTATAGCAGATCAACTTCCTCCTATTCTGAATTGCGAGATTGCCCTTTTAATAGGTTATAATTGTCCTAAAGCTCTTACACCTAGAGAAGTAATACCTCATTCGGGAAATGGTCCTTACGCCCAGAGAACTGACTTAGGATGGGGTGTAGTTGGCATTATAGATCAATGTGCGTCAGAAAATTTGGATTCAATAGGCTGTAGTAGTCAGACATTTCAAGTTCGAACATCATGTAATAATAAATCAGAACAATCACTAACTTCAAGTGATATTGTTGTTTCCTTTAAAACACACATCCGAGAAATTATTAATCCTGTTGACATACTGAAAATGATGGAGATAGACTTCAGTGATCGTAATAATAATGACTCTGGTTGTTCTCATGAAGATAATCAATTTGTACTTAAGATGAACTCATCAATTCGCTTAAATGAAAACAGTCATTATGAAATGCCTTTACCTTTCCGTGGATCTAAACCAACGCTTCCGAATAATCGCATTGTGGCAGAAAATCGTTTGACACCTTTGGTAAATCGTTTTACAAAAGACATAAATTTTAAGCAAGATTACAGTAAATTCATGAATGAGATTATCGAAAAGAATTACGCCGAACCGATTTCTGCGCATGAACTTTGTAATATTGGACAGATTTGGTATATACCACATCATGCAGTTTATCATGCAAAAAAGCCTGGTAAAATTCGAGTCGTTTTCGACTGTAATTCGAAATTTAAGGATGTTTCGCTTAATGATCATTTGTTAAAGGGGCCCGATCTAACCAATAGTTTGTTCGGTGTATTATGTCGATTTAGAATGGAGAATGTAGCCATTATGTGTGATATTGAGCAAATGTTCTACCAGTTTAATGTGGAAAAACAAGATCGTGATTTTCTCAGATTTTTATGGTGGAATAAGGGAGATGATAAGCCTGCCGATTTCAGAATGACTGTGCATTTATTTGGTGCTACCTCGTCACCAGGTTGTGCGAACTTTGGGCTAAAGCAAGCTGCAAATGATTTTGAAATGGAATTTGGATCAGAAGCTGCTAATTTCGTGCGAAATAATTTCTATGTTGATGATGGTTTGTTGTCAGTCAAAACTGACGAAGAAGCAATTTCGCTGATTGAAAATACCAAAAAACTGTTAGCCAAGTGCGGATTGAGACTTCATAAATTTTTGTCAAATTCTAACACAGTGATCGAATCAGTTCCGGTTGTGGATCGTGCAAAGGTTCTTCAGAATCATGACCTTTTCTTCGAAGATTCACCTATTGAGAGATGTCTTGGTTTACAGTGGTGCATTGAATCCGACACTTTTCAGTTTCGTATATGTCTCAAAGATCAGCCACTCACCAGACGTGGAATTTTGTCAACTGTTTCCTCGATCTATGATCCGTTAGGACTTATTTCGCCAGTTATTTTAGTTGGTAAACAAATCTTGCAGGAACTCTGTAGAGCTCATAACGATTGGGACAGTGACATTCCGGATATATTGAGATTCCGATGGGAAAAATGGAGATCTAGCTTATCTCAACTTGCAGACGTGAAAATAGAACGTTGTTATAAACCCAAAGACTTTGGTGATATTGTGGTAAATGAATTACATCATTTTTCAGACGCGTCAACGTTCGGTTACGGACAATGTTCGTATTTGAGATTGATTGACAATAATAGCAATGTATCTTGTTCATTAGTAATGAGTAAATCTCGAGTGACACCTCTTAAACCAATAACAATTCCCCGTTTAGAATTAGCTGCAGCTTTAGTGTCGGTAAGAGTTAGTTTGCAGTTAAGACGTGAATTGAACTATAGTAATTTAACTGAAGTATTTTGGTCAGATAGTAAAGTAGTGTTAGGTTATATTAACAATGATGCAAGAAGATTTCAAATGTTCATTGCGAATCGTATACAGCAGATACGAGAGTCAAGTAATCCTACTCAGTGGAGGTACATTAAATCGAAAGATAATTTAGCAGATCTAGCATCAAGGGGCGTTACTGCAGAAGAGCTCAATGCGACTAAATGGTTCATCGGACCAGACTTTTTATGGAAATCACAATTACCTAGTACATCTGACAATCCTGAAGAAATGCATGTAAATATATCTTCTGATGATCCTGAACTTAAGAAGGTACAGAGTTTAGCTACAAATGCAAAACCATGTTTTGAACTTTCTCGTTTGAATCACATTTCAGACTGGTTTAAAGCCAAACGAGTGATAGCCTTATGTTTAAGATTTAAAGCAATATTGCTCAGTAAAGTTAAAGATTTTCCTGATCAACCACTGACTCATTCGCCCTTAACAGTTGAAGAATTAAGATGTTCAGAATTACAAATCATTAAGATGGTACAAGCTGAAGCCTTCGCTGAAGAGTTAAAAATTCTTAAGGCTGTGAAATTATCTGCAAATAAAGAGGACATTATTCGCTTAAAAAAGTCGTCGTCACTTTATAAACTTGATCCTTTTCTGAATTCTGATAATGTTATTTGCGTGGGTGGACGACTCAAACGAGCTACCTGTGATCAGTTAGATAAATACCCAGTTATTTTGCCAAAGAAACATTACATTACAAACATGATTGTGCGCTATTTTCATAGTATTGTTGAGCATCAGGGTCGCGGAATAACCACTAATGAAATAAGAGCCAGCGGTTACTGGATAATAGGTTGTACATCAGTTGTGTCTAGTCATATTTTACGGTGTGTTATATGTCGTAAGTTACTCGGTCGGTCACAGGAACAAAAAATGAGTGATTTACCAGAAGATCGTTTGGAAACTGCGCCTCCTTTTAGTTATTGCGGAATGGATTGTTTCGGCCCATGGTATGTAAAAGAGGGCAGAAAGGAAATTAAGAGATATGGGTTATTATTTGTATGTATGGCTAGCCGTGCTATACATATAGAAACTTTAAATGATCTAAGTACAGACGCATTTATAAACGGTTTACGACGTTTCCAGTGTATTCGTGGACCTATCCGACAGTTAAGATGTGATAACGGAACAAACTTTATTGGAGCAAAACGCGAGTTACATCAAGCCTTTCACGAGATGGACAGTGGTCGAATTCAGAAATATCTTGTAGAAAATGGGTGTGACTATTTTCAGTTTAAAACTAATGTTCCAAATGCTAGCCATATGGGTGGGCTGTGAGAGCGCCACATTCGTTCTATTCGAAATGTTCTATCGTCACTTTTGTTACAGAATGGTTCTCAGTTGGATGACGATTCCTTGCGCACCTTTATGTATGAAGCTATGTCAATTATTAATAGTAGGCCACTTACAGTAGATAACTTGAACGACGTCAATTCGCTAACACCCTTAACTCCTAATAACATTTTAACTATGAAGTCTAAGATAATATTGCCTCCCCCTGGTGAATTCCAGAAACCTGATCTTTATTCACGAAAACGTTGGCGTCGCGTTCAGTATATATCAAATGAATTTTGGAGTAGATGGAAGCAAGAGTATCTGCAGAATCAACAAGTACGTCAAAAATGGAATCGTGAAACTCGTGATATGCATTGTGGTGATATAGTGCTCGTGGTTGATGATAAATCTGCTCGCAATCAATAGTCTTTGGGACGAATTATAGAAACTTACAAAGATAAAGATAATCATGTGCGAACTGTCAAACTTTTAGTTGGTGATAAGAAGCTTAATGCGAAAGGGAAACGTGTCTATCCGAGAAGTGTTCTTGAACGTCCTATTCAGAAACTGATATTAATTTTGGAACATGAGTAAACCGGGATTCCCCATCGAGGAGCCACAGACTTTCAGTAGAACTATCAAACTGTTATGCTTAACCGTTTAGTTATTTGGTTTACTTTTATATCTCTGCTTTTTCTTTGTTCGTAGATTAATTGAAAATTAGTTCCTAATTTTGGGGAGCCATGTAACGGTAGTCGTGCGATAGACGAAGTGTTCCGATTGCTAACTTTGTCTACTGGCTGTTTGTCGGCTAATTTCCTATTAAAGGGAGAATTAATTGATGTTGTTTGTTGTTTCTCTTTAATTTTGCCTTTACGTCTTAAGCTTGTATAATATCATAGTTTATATTATTAGTTTGAGTATTAAATATGTAGATATTTATTCAGGGAATCAAATTATGATTATAGGCATTTAGTTAAGTTTATTATGTTTACCTAATAAGCTTCCCTCAAAATACGTGGTCTTTCGTAGATCATCATGGCAGCCAAATGAATGAAATCGGGAAAGGGGTGAAGTCAAAAAGGTTATTACGTTTTATTAACACATAATTTATATATTTATAGTATGCTAATATGTTTATTGTATGTTTAAGTACATGTCAGTATTATTGTGTGCTTTGCCAGGCAATGTTTTAGTCATATTAAGTCAGGTTTATAATTCGTGGAGACAGCGCTGTCGTCCGCTGTCGTCTGTCAGTGTCATCGTCCTTGGCCTTTGAACAGGGCTACGTATTGTTTACGTTGTGTTCATTGTCGTCATTAAAGTTAGTCAATCAGTACTGCATGGTAATCCGATGTATTTTTCTTATTTCAGTTTTCACGTAATGTTTAGTGAAATCTTCAGAATGTACATGTAATATTCAGTGAAAGCTTCAGAATATAATATTCAGCATGTAATCAAGTATTATTCAGCATCGTCAGTAATGAGTAATATTCAGCCATGGTGTCTTCAGTATAATATGTAGCACGTTGATTATAATCAGAATTAAAAGAGGAATTCATCCGTATTCGAATTCTCTCATTAGGCTATGTAGGCCCATGCGTATGCGACCTGATTTGTGTAAGCTGATGTGTGAACTGTTTATATTTGTAGCTGTTAGTTAATATATAAAGTTTATTACATTGAAGAACTACACGTCGTTGTTTATATTTCGCTAAATGTTTCAGTGTAGAAAGCATTGACTTCAGAGTATTCGTCCGCAGAGCATCATTCCTCTGTCAATATTATTTGGCTGCTTCAGCGATAGAGGCATGCTGTTACACACAGTATTATCTGTATTTTCTACCATTAGGGTAATGGTCGTGTAATGGATGATTTCATATAAGTGTAAAATGTAAAAAATATTAGTACCCGGTCAATTCTTTTAATTTATTGTGTCAGAAAATCTAGCTAAGGTCATGTTTTGTTTATTATTTCAGTATTTTCGAAGTTCTACTGATGTTAGCTAACATAATGTTTATTATTTCAGTATTCTAGAAGTTCTACAGAAGGTTTAGCTAAGATCATGTTCTGGTTAGCTGTATTAGGTAATCTTCTCTATGGTCTAGCGATCATTGTGAGAGATATAGATGCTGTGTTTATCCTTCAACATCTGCCATGGATTATTGGTAGTCTCGGAGTTATCTTCCTTGATGTAACAGTATCCTTTTTGTCCGTCTAATTAACATGTTGTCCGAATGATTAGACAATGTTTCTTGCCAGGACAAGACAACTAACAGGTATCATGGCTAGAAAACCCTGATGAACCCTGACCAGCACGGGATGAAAGATGAAGCCTGTGAATGCATGGTAATATGAGTCAGCGCCTTACTCATTGAGCCACTGTGGTAAGCCAAAAAGCAGAGCAACGTTTATAAGTGTAATAACTTATGCTATATAAGTATATTTATTTAGGATAGCACGGGCGACAGTGCCAGATACAGATCAAGCCTCAGGCCCCTCCAAATCCTGCACCCTCACAGCTAGATGAAAAGATGTTTTCAACACAATTGAGTAAAGCCAGGGATGTAGACGAATGTTTAAGACTACATTGTATTAAAAAAGGCTTATAACAGTGTCTGAAATATTATATACCATGGCCAGATTCCGCCTCCTTGATCTTGACACCCTAGGTTTCAGAGAGAGGGGGTTTAATGTCCTCTCGACACAAACTAGGGCATTTTGGGACTAACATATGGTTCGATTTTATTTTAATAATTCACTAGCGCGTAGGGGTCTTTAGCAGTGGAGGAAACCCGAGAAAACCCATAAGTTTGGACAGGTGACCCTATTCTTTGTCATGTACAACTGAGGATTCGAAACCATGCCAGTTGACTCAATGACAGACTTTATGATCAAACGCATTAACCATTTGGCCCCCCTTCCCCCCACAGGTTTCAGCCCGCCATGTCTAATGGTAAATCTGACACTGTTTCCTAGATCTTGACAGCCTAGACTCTGAATCTGCCAAGCCTACAGGTAAATTCTAGATCTCGATACCCTAGGCTTCCAGTCTACCAAGCCTATAGGTAAATCCTACATCTTGAGACCCTGGGCTTCAACCTGCCAAGTCTATAGGTAACTTCTAGATCTTGAGACCCTAGGCTTCAGCCTGCCAAGCCTATAGATAAATCCTACATCTTGAGACCCTGGGCTTCAACCTGCCAAGTCTATAGGTAACTTCTAGATCTTGAGACCCTAGGCTTCAGCCTGCCAAGCCTATAGATAAATCCTACATCTTGAGACCCTGGGCTTCAACCTGCCAAGTCTATAGGTAACTTCTAGATCTTGAGACCCTAGGCTTCAGCCTGCCAAGCCTATAGATAAATCCTACATCTTGAGGCCTAAGGCTTCAACCTGCCAAGTCTATAGGTAAACCCTGCAGTAAGTGGCGAGCTGACCTACAGAGAGATTCACCTGGTTTTTGACTGGTTATTAAATTCCTTAACCAATATCAGTTATTATGTCAATTTTATTATTATGAACGGAGAAATTTTAACAGTTTATCTCGACAACCTTTACTACCCGAAGAAAGTTCCAGTAGTCCCATTTACGTTGATTCCGGATGATCTGACCTCAACATGAAAAGCAGGAGAACAACCATCCACTAGACATACAGCCAGATACACATCTCTTGCCTTTCTGAAAATATTATAGTTAAAATAGATTAAAGGAGAGGGAAGGTCACTCTTGCATCAACAACAAAACTTGGGATCTAAAGGGCATTTATTACACTTTGACTTACTTACATCTGCATTTGATTTACAATGTCTTGTAATATTTTACACTGTCTTTTAAATTAATATTTTTGTCCAAAGAATTTTCCAAATTTTGCCTACATATATTAACCGATATGGATAACTGACCTCAATTCAAGTGCAGCAATATATGTTTAATTGAGTTATCTCCCTTTATTTTATGGCACTTTTCCACATTCATGGGCTAAATCTATTTGTTAAGGCCAGCTCAATTTTCGTCAAGGTCGCTGAGATGTAATAAAAAAGGTTAGGACACGTGATTGTTGGCGAGATTGTAGGTTAGGTTTAAGAATTTAGGGGAGAGGTTAAGTCTCAACCTAAACACTGACCTAGGGTTGGGCTTAGCGCTAGCCCTGTTTACATCTCGTGACCTTTGATCAAACTTGAAGTTGGCCTAATTAAATAGATCTAACCACTTTGACGCCCTTTCAATTCAATTTGTGTATACCAGTATATTTTATTTTGATATATCACCACTGTCCAAAATATACATGGCAGCTATAATATTTTAGAGGCACAATATTCAAATTGGAAGGGCAAAAAATATACTTTCAGTCTTAACCAAAAATCTATTGGTCCAAAAAATCAATCAATCATAGTTATGGCCATATAAAGTTCTCATTACTTTTCTGTTGAATTTGTATCGCCATCTTTATTGTCTTAAGACACAACTGAAAAATACTTTATTTCTAGTCATGAACATCAAGGACAAGATGGTATTTGAGCTATATTTTTTGTACTATTCATCTATCTAAGCTACTATGTAAGTTACACTTGTGTTGTCAAAATTAAAGATACATTTAACATTATGTAAGATTTAGATAAAGAGCTGACTGTTCTTGCTACAATAGTTCAAAAATAGGAAATAACAATGAATATTGAAAATTTCAGTCAAATTTCTTTATTCTGAGCGAAGTTATGACTGTTAGAAGATTTGACGGTCTTTTTCCGAGAATGGACATCATATTATTATTTAATGATGAAATAGCGGACATTGTCAAATCAGTATCTTAACCATCCGATGGTCTAGTTGAGTATGGGCTTGTCGTATGAAAAATGTCTAATAATTTATAGAACATTTGAAACCAAAAGAAAGACCAGCAGCAGACAGATTTAGCTCTTACATAGTGTATCTTTAATTTATATAACATTTGAAACCAAAACAAAAACCTGCCATTGATGTAGATGAATCTGAATATCCATGAAAATCACTAGCACCGATTTCACAAAATATTCTCAGAGTTAAATTAAGAATTTACTCAACTTTCATTAACTGTTTATGAGAAATATCTTTGATCCAGAAAAATCTTATTGATGTATTTGATACATTAAAACAACCAAAGTTTTATAAAGGGCTATATTTTAGTTAGAATAAGGCAAACAATTTTGAGTAAATCCTTAACTTAAACATACATTATGCAAGAGCTAAATCTGCCTATTGCAGGTCTTTCTTTAGGCATGAAATGTTATATAAACTATTAATTAGACATTTATTAACAAAAGAAGACCATAATCAACTCTCGATGGCATCGTATACACAAGATTTTAACTAGATTGAAATGGTTTGACATTTAAAAATTTAATTTAAAAATGGGAAAGTGAGGCTAAGTCCTGATTATACCAGTGCCCTGGTTACCACTGTGCACACATCTTGTCAAAACTACAAACAATGAGAATGAAGTAATTTGAATGAAATTTTCAATATTTTCTTGTTTTATCATCTATTTTTGAATTATTATAGCAAGTATGACCAACTCTTTATTAAACTCTTAACTAATGTATCTATAAGTCTGAGAATGCTTTGTGAACTGGGCCAGATTTTTTGGCTCACCTAGTTTTTCATGAAGAGTTGAGTAAAGTAAAAACATGTGTATGTTGGACCTTTGTCCATCTGTTTATTTCGGTCTGATTTCATTTTAGAAATTTTTTTTTATCAGTTTTTATTATTTATACTTCCTCGTTTATTTCTATAATTTTAGGACAAACTATTTTAAAGTTTCTATCACATCGATTACAAATCAAAATTTTCTCTGAACAAGTGAATGTTTTTTTAATGTGCACTCCAATGTGTATATAGACCGAGAGCCCAGAGGGGTCAACCTAGCTAAAAAGTGTACCAATTTTCTCCTATATGGTATCAATGTATGTATATCTGGTATCATCAGAATGTAAGTCTGCCGGGTTTCTGGTGGTGGGTGTGGTATTCCACGCCCTAAATGCCATGACCCCCAACTAGGCTAGATTAGCTCAAAAGTGTACCAAATGAAAATCGTACAGCAGTGTACCGTACATCTTCAGGTATTACAAAAACACTCTGGAAATTAGATAACTCTTGTCAGGGATACTCCATCACTACAAATGTCTGGCAATTACATAGCTCTGTCAGGGGTACCCCACCACTAGAAATGTCCGTCAGAGTGTTTTTGTAATACCTGAAGATGTACTGTACATTGCTGTGCGATTTTCATGTGGTACACTTTTGAGCTAATCTAGATTAGTTGGGGGGCATGGCATTTTGGGCGTGGAATACCACACCCACCACCAGCAACCCGGCAGACTTACATTCTGATGATACCAGATCTACATACATTGATACCATATAGGAGAAAATTGGTACACTCTTCAGCTAGGTTAACCCCCTGGGTTCCCGCTCTAATACGCATGGACCTTGGTTTTTAGTCCCATCCAAAGGACTAAGCAGAATTGTGATAATTGTATTTGACATTATAATAACTAAATGTATAATGTTCGTTGGTTCATTCCAAATTTCGATTTGTAATCTTGGTCATAAAACCTTTAAATAGTTTCTAAATTTATTTTATTTAGGGTTTTACCTGCATTTCACAGCTGAAGTTGGTTTATTTAGGGTTTTACCTTGCATTTCACAGCTGAATTTGGTTTATTTAGGGTTTTACCTTGCATTTCACAGCTGAAGTTGGTTTATAAATTGTTTTAATGTCATTTATTAATTAAACTGGAACTACGCATGACACAATTCTACAGAATATAGTTACAGCTATGGTATTCTATAGAACTGTCATCTGTATCATTATATTCTATAGAATCGTGTCATTGTATTCTATAGAAGTGTGATCTGTATCATTGTATTCTATAGAAGTGTGATCTGTATCATTGTATTCTATAGAATTGCAATCTGTATCATTGTATTTACGTCTGGTTCTCTGTATTATGATATTATAACTCTCCTTATTAATCAAATTCCTCACCGTGTCCAAACTGGGAGAACTTTTTCAGGCGTTCAATATTTGACTTATGCAAATTAAAGAGAGCTTTTCTCAGCTCACTACTTACTAGCCAAATGCAGAAAACAATCACTTAAATTGTTGACAGCATTTATTATTAATTATTATATTCTTTGAATGGCATTTAGTAATTGGAATATAATCAAATAACACACTATTTATGGAATAACAATTACTATGGTTTATTACACTGCAACGTTTCAATTATAAAGTATATTTATATATTTTATTTATTCGTGTTGATGTATGATTGATAATGATTCATGAAATCTTGTTGAAACGTTGCAGTGTAATAAACTCTAGTAATTGTTAACCATAAATAGTGTTAATAGTTTTATTACACTGTTATGTTTCAACAAAATTTTAAATAGTTTTTTTGTTTTAATAAGTTGTTGCCCATATGTATAAATTGTCACTTTGAAGGTGAGGGTTAATATAGACGTTCCCTGTTTTAATTCACAAAATGTTTTATTTAATTCATTAAATTTGTTATATTTATTAACCCCATGTTTAAATTTTCAATAAAATGATGACTATTTAAAGATATTTAGTTTAATAAGATGTTCTAATTACCTACACCAAGTAAACAAATGAAGATGGTCATATGTCATACAGTAGGCAATGAGGGTCATTTTAATTGGAGAGGCCTCTACACCCTACCCTGATTTCAGAATTTGAAGTAACATGGGTTTTTTTTTATGTGCACACAGGACCTCGTATTTTAATCCCATCTGCATGACTGCACACTGTTCCTTGCCAGGCTCCCCATCCTGTACAACGTACAAAGGCGAAACCTCAAAAAAAAAACTCTTGTCAGCCAACACCAAGATCGACTTCAATGCACTGAGTCACAGCGGCTCCCATTAATATTAGATATTGCAGAATTTGACTCATTTGGCAGAAAATGTCTCATGTTTTGACAACATCCGTGAATGAACATGAATATGAAGTCATTTGGTCCTACCACTATAGAGGGAGGGGACAAAAGGGCCTGTTATCCTTTGGTTAGCTGTATCAACAATAATATATTATTATACAATGGCGCGTGCATTGTTTACATAAGACGTTACTGCTTCGAGCAGAATGCTGCCTTTCAGTCATTTTAATACCCATTTACACTAAATAGGAAATAATTTCAATTATTCACTGCTGATCAGTGTGATATTATACAGTGTGTGTGTGTGTGGGGGGGGGGGGGGGCTCAGTGATAGAGTGATAGTTGACTGGTTCTATAGGTGGGTAGAATCCTAGCTTGGCATGAGAAGAATCTTCATTTTTAAGAACAGGGCCCTTATTCACGAAAACTTAACTAAGATCAAATCCAAATTTTAGTAATTTGTTTGGATAATATTAGATTGATTTTAGTGCTTAGCCAATCAAAATTGATGTATCTACTAAAATTTGGATTTTATCTTTAGTTAAAATTTCGTGAATCAGGGCCCAGCTCACTTGTTAATGGTGGTGCCCGCAGGGTTAGGAAGGTGTGTCTTGTTATTTGGATGGTACAAAAACACGAGGTATACACATTATCCGGACTGTGGAGTTTCCATTTCCACCCAGTGGGCACCAACCTTACATTAAATTCTTGATATCGAGGGATCTTTTATGTGCACGAAACACCAATATTAGAAATTAAAAAAAAAAGTTTTGTGCATTTCTGACTCGGGCCTTTAAATTAATATAAGAAACAACTAAAATTCTTTAATGTTTTTATTTGAAGAAGAAAATCAGATTCTAGGAAGACACCTTCATAAAGAGAAAATACTCTATCTGTTGCATTCCAACATGATGTTTTAAACAGCCACCATAACCTGTCTTTTATCCAAAAATATTCCTGCACATGTCCGAAAATTGCTGATTCATATTCAACCCAAAGAAAACATGCCTTGAATTACTAACATAAACAGTTTGTTCCCAAAGGGAGATAATTCTCATGTTATTATGAGTTAGGTCTGTAATCATGTATCAGTTGTAATGTTTTTGTCAGTGTCAGTGCTTGAATCAGACGAACTAGAACCGGTTGTACTACTTTCTTTATTAACAGCCTTGTTGTATTCCGCAGCCAATTCTGGGTTTTCGGCTTGCCACTTTTCTGCAGTATTTTTCGCTAGCCAATCAGATGATTGTATTTCATTATGAAGTTTCTCCATTAAATCCATGACCGATTCAGGTTCTGGAACAAAAAAAGGAAATTCAGGAATAAGGCACTTGCTGTCAGTCACAGACATTGTCTGATATAATTTCAGGCTCTGGTGTCTGTCATTTGTCGGGCGGTTGGTTGGCCAAATGGTTAATGCATGAGCATTACATCAAAAGGCCTGTCATTGAGTCAAAGTAGTGTGGTTTTGATTCCCCTGTTGTACATGACAAGAGTAGGGTCGCCTGTCTAATCTTGAGGGTTTTCTCTGGGTTCTCCTCCCACTGCTAAAGACCCATACAAAATGGCCTACCCTTTCTATCTCTCTAGCTGACTCACTCTCTCTCTCTCTCTCTCTCTCTCATTTGTCCCGGACACAGATTGGTCTATTTTCTGAAAAGTTTGGCTAGCCCATACTTCTCGCAGTGTTTCGTTTGATTAAAGCTAATTTCACTAAACACTGCTTTAATGGAAGCAAACTTCTGTTCCAAATTATGACGGGTCAATAGTCCGATTAACAACCAATAGTTAACTGCGTAACAATATCATTACATTTTAAACAAAGCTCCAAATTGAACCAAATATGTTTACATAACGTTACGTCATGACTCACTATTTTATTATGCCCAATTAACCAGTGCATAGCAGAACATTGCAGAAAAACTAATTGTGTGACAAATGAGGCCATCAAAACTGATACTATGTAAACAATACTGTATGGAGACGAAGAATACTTTCACCGTTTTTAACACCTTAAATCACTGTCCAAAGTTTTAGGGTAGACCCCAGATTAAAAGAAGGGCTGTCATGTTGCTGTACTTGGGATAGGTTTGATTGAACGGGAAGAATAGACACATTCCCTCAAAAGCTCAAGTATCAGAAGCCAATCCAGCAATGGACAGAGAGGTATTTCTCGGACCATTATTGCTTCAGGAATTTGGGTTACTTACTTTGTTTTGTTTTGTCTCCCTCCATTCTGATTAATAACTGGTATTTAATCTGAAGTAAACAACATTTTATATTAATTTGTTGATTGTAAAGAGCCCACGTTTTCACACCTCAGCTTAGGCAACATGCATATTTTTATTGAAATGAATCGAAACACAGGACATACAGATTAACGTCTGAGCCACCCTGAATTCCACCATTCTCGGTATCATTCCACTAAACTCTTGCTATACTTCAATTATGTATTAATCGATTTTATGTAATAATTGTTTATGTATTTTGAATACAACAACTTTAGTGGTATCAATATTGACCGTTTAAGCCGTTACTTGAAGGTCTTGAAGTACAGCAAGAATTTTAGTTTAAGATAACTTTCCATCCCTAGATTTTGAATATTGGTACAGCATTGCCACGAACCTGTGACCTCCAGTCTGCGCAAGCACGGGATTCATAATGGCGGACCAATTCAAACGAATTTGTTTGTGTTTTAAATCACAAAATTCTACTTGACAATTAGTGTTGAATTATTATAAATTTGTGCCAGATGTGTTGAGACATGATTCCTTTGGGCAAACAAAGTAAAAAATAGACGATAAGGATTCCAAAATAGCCTTAGAACTGAGTCCAAGGTGGGGTAATGTGTTATTTTTATATTACATGTAATAGGGACCAACAGAGAGAGGGGGGGGGGAACATCCACACGACACAAACTAGGTCATATCGAGGCTAACATATGGTTCAGTTTTATTTACATAATTCGCTTGCACATATATACGTAGGGGTCTTTA